CATTAGGCATAGGTAGGCGGCCGCCTGGGGCCCCCTTGTTTTGGGGGGGCCCCTAGCCCTGACCGCCGGCACTCCTCTGTTAATGCCACAATATTCTTATTACCAACCTGTGGCCGCAGACGGGATTGGACATGCTTCTCATTACCATAATTCCTAAACCGTTCAAGATATCATTAAAATTCCAAAAGTGCTTAAAAGATTAAAAATGGGGCTTTTCATGCATATACAATACATTACGGTAGCCACCGGGATTCCCTGTCTTGAGCACAACGAATCACAACACAGATTCAGAGACGTGCTGAGTTAGTCGTCCAAAATGCTCCGTTTTATAACTTTTGAATGTCTGATCAGATTCAACAAATTCCAACGGTTCCTAAAAGTACATAAAAGCAGCTTTCCAAGGATCTATAGCATGAATTAATCAGAGTTAGGGAAAATATCGCTACGAGGGGAAATCCTGCTGTACAGCCTGATTGAAACGGAGCGCAGCGCCGCGGTGAAAGCGGATAACGGAACGGGGAAGCTAATCAGCATAAAAACCAGCATGAAATTATGGAAATGCCTCAAAGAAAATCAACACGATCTGTTAGGTGTCCCAGAAGGCTTATATCTGAAGACAGTGACCACGAAGAAGGACAGATCTCCAGTGAACCAGGGTATGAACGTTTGTTCAGTCTTTATTTTTTTATTTTTTTATTTGAACAACCCTCAACTATTTGCTAATTGTAAGATTCAGCATCATTCCAGCATTATTTATCCTTTTACCATAAATAATTATTTTTGCTAAAACAAAAGTTTTTGGTATAGCAGTGCACGGTGTGCCAGAGAAGCACCCCATGGCGGTGTGAGGTGTGCAGGACTCTGCCTGCAGCTGGAGAGAAGCTGCTTCAGGGTCTACCACATCAAATAAAATCATCTGAAAGTTTACAAAAATAAATGGTCTTAAAAACTGCTAAAAAAGATACCAAGGTTCACACTTTTTTAAGAATAGATGCATTACAGATGAAAGTTGCCCAGTAATTTTGAAGTTCCTGTTCAGTAATAAATGTAAAAAATTAAAATCCGTTTTTTGCTTTTTTCACTTTTAAGCTGATTTTTTAAAGGCTGTAATAGAAATAAATTCTAAATACAAACAAACTGCGAAGGTTGGTGTCAAAACATGAACTTGAAATGGTTCTCCTTGCCTTTATCTCCTCCCATCTAGATTACTGTAACACACTCTTCACATGTTTTAACAGAAAAGCCCTTGACCGCCTTTAGTTGGTCCAGAACTCTGCAGCGAGGCTCCTAACTGGAGCAAACAGAAGAGCTCCCATCACTCCTATTCTGGTGTCTCTGCACTGGTTACCCGTTAACTTTAGAGTTCATTTTAGAATCCTGACTAGAACCAACCCGAGCCCTCAGGTCCACACACCAGAACCTTCTAGAAGTTCCAAAGACCAGATATAAAAGTTAAGGTGATCGCTCCTTCCAGACTGTTGCACCCCGACTCTGGAATGATCTCATTTATCCTTACGCAGCGCTAACAGTCTGGACACCTTTAAACAAACAGCTGGAGACTCTTATCTAAAGCTGCTTTTACATAAACCTTTTATTTTCTTATTTTTAACTAAAGTTTGTAATCTTTCATCTGTTTATGAAATAGTATCATTTTATGACTTTATTTTTTATGATGTTAATCTGATTCCGTTTTGAGATTATGATTTTATGACTGTTTTATTTTGTTTTGTTCTATGTGAAGCACTTTGTGATTCTATGTCTGTGATAAGTGCTATAGAAATAAAATTACTTAATTACTACATGATGTTGCAAAAAGTCTTTCTAAATTAACACCCAATAAGGTCACAGGGCCAGATGGCCTCAAAGCCTGTCTGCTAGAAGACTGTGCTCAACAACTAAAGGGAGTTTTCACACAGCCGTTTCAGTACCTTCTAAACTTGGGGGAGGTACCAAAAGCCTGGAAAGTCAATAAAATGAGCAGTTCCAAAAAAGCAGGGTGCTACTGCTCCTAATGATTTTAGGCCAGTGGCCCTCACCTCTGTATTTTGTAAGACAATGGAACGGGTCCTTGTCAACCACCTAAGTAGCTCAGTGCTGATGCGCTGGACCCACTCCAGTTTGCATACACAAGAAAGAGAGGCACTGGGGATGCTGTGCTGGCTCTGCTGGATGCACAGATTTGTTTTTACAACTGAATTTGTGATTAATAATCCAATTTTTATGTAAATCAAGTATGCTGATGACATGGCTTTGGTGAGATTAATGGAAAAACAAGACTCTAGGGGAGAAGCATTGTTTTTATCACATACCCAGGCCTTGGAGTATTGGTGTGGTCAGAGTGAGTTGGAGATCAAGTAGCCAAGACCAAGGAGCTCATTATATCTCTGAAACAAGACTTTACAGTGGAACCAGTTTCACTTTCTAACCGGTCTGTTGAACACGTGGAACACTTTAAATACTTAGGCTCATTCTTAGACTGTCGGCTCAGTTTTGCCAAAAACACTGACTACATCTATAAGAAGTGCTCACAGAGACTATCTTTTGAGAAAGCTCAGAGTCTAGGTGTCAGTCAGCACACCCTAGAGCTCGTTTATAAAGCAACTGCGGAGAGCATTTTGACTCTACACCTCCCAGCCTGGTCTGGTCATGTGAACTGCAAATCCAGGCCAAACTCCTGCGATTTGTCCCATAGGCAGACAAAATAGTTGGCAGGCCCCAGAAAACTATCTCCCAGTTGGCTGCTGAAAGGGCGAGGAACACTGCAAGGAACATTGTAGCAGACAGCAGTCATCCTCTTGTCCGTCAATTTGAACCCTTGAGCTCGGGAAGGCGTTTTAGGGTGCCTCTTGCCACCAAATATATATAAGAAATAATTTGTACCAAGTGCTCCACTGATCCTTAACCAACGTAAACGATGAGACCCAACCAGAGCACATGGTGTCATGAATGTTTGTATACATGAATGTTTTTAGTTCTTGAGAGCCGAAGGAAAATGTCCACCACTGTGGACAATAAAGTTCATTCTATTCTATTCTGAGTACTTTGTGGCCACCACCAGGGGAAACAACGGATCTCAGTGGTCATCTCCAACACAACCATAAAGATCTACAAGGCTCCAGAAAGCCTAGCAAACCCAAAGTCTCTGACGTTAAGACATGCAAGAGCATGACAACCCACCAGATGTCCTCCATCATAGGTTTGTGGATGGAACTCATGAGAAACCATCAAGGTGGAATGAGGACGCAACGGAGGCACTAGCAGGTGTAGCGTTATGAAGTTTATAATGGTCTGCCCTTAACAGCTGCCCCTTCACACAGTAACACCGCCAAGGTCGGATGCTTGGTTCAGTATGTTTACATTCCAGGAGAAGAGACAGAAGAACAGAAGAAGAACGCTTTTCATTGATTAATCAAAGTACTTTATTTGTGATAAGCTAATCAAAGCATTTGTTGATCATTAATAATCAAGTGAATGATCTGTGAAATAAAGATGTCATGAGTTATGTGTTTAAATGAATAAACAGGACTGCACCAGACACACTGATATGCATTACCATGGAAACGCATGACACATTGTTTTCAACCAATCAGAACTTTCGTCTGTGGTAGGGCAGAATCTGGTTTGTTTATGAAAGTAGTCCAATCCGGTTTACTAAGATTCTTAAACAAATGGGAGATATAAAAAGAAGGCAACGCCATTTTAAGTCAGTTCCACGTTACGTTCCACTTTCAGCAGTTACATGTTGAACTCAGCTCCAGGACATCCGAGTTCCTAAGGATTTCCATCGTCATCATTAAGAAGTTCAGACTGGCCAGCTGGACTTCCTACTTTGAGCTGAAATCTGTCAAGCTGGAGATTTTCCGTCGTTTATACCAACGAGACAATGTTCCTTCAAAATAAGAGTGAACTTGCTGACGCCTGCCGACTACGACCGGAGTTATCCTCAGACGGGCGTTGTGTGCTGCGACCGCTGTTTCAACCAGCTCCAGTACCCATGAAGGTCCGAGGACCTGGCAACTCCTGATCTACACGGGAGACTCCCTACGGTACGTGGTCACGGCAATATGGCGGCTCATGTCATCAGCAATCGAAGCCTCGTGGTAGCCTAGTCATAACAACCAGATCCGCTACTCAGCCTAGAGATTCTGAACAAAACACACACACACACACCAACACTAAACATCTCCATCCATATGCATCCATCATTGAGATAGTCCTGGTAGATTGTGAGAATTTATAATTATAGAAATTAAAGATTCTTAAACGATCCCAACTCTCTCTCTTTCTTGTCTCTCAGTCAATACAAAGTGTTTAAGTAAACTCCCTGATGATAAAAACAACCACTTCTGATTGATTACTTAGATTGTATAAATATACAAAATCAGGTAATTAAATTATTTAATTGCAGTATATAAATATACAACTTCAAATCACAACACCGGTTATTTGGCTAAGGCTACACTGCTAAAGAATACATCAAGCCGAGAGCCACTGAACTAAAGAGCTGGGTCAGGGTGCAGTCACTAATGGCTATGGGAGTAAACACATCTGTTTAGCTCTGGAAATGTTCAGAAGTGCCGTCCTGCTTTAAATAGCTCCAACATATTTAAATGATTATTATTAAAATATCGAAACAGCTCATGCTGATTTTGAAATTTCAAATGAAATGGTTGTGGTGTGTAAGAAGTATTTATACACAGAGGTGAAAGACAAAGTCATATCATCATTGCAACATTCATCACCGTTATCACGTTATCATATTGTGCTGCCCTAGTTCAAATAGGAACCCTTTACAGGAGTTTTTACGCTAGTGATTAAGACATTTGCACATTAAATGCTTCATAAACCTTCCACTAACTACTTTGGGAAAATCAGAGCAGGACATGCCAGAAAACGTTTGGATTAAAGTCCTGAAACTGATGCCAGGAGGACAGACGACATGCAGAAACATGAGAAAATCCCACCAACACAGGAGGGAATCCAGATGCCTGTGCTCTTACCTGGGATGAGAAACTTGAAGGGAAATGTGTGCTCCCCCTGTTTCAGTGTTCCTATTCAGACACAAAGAGCACAGATAAAATCTGTCAGTGGAGTCGGAAACAATCGGCCTTCTGTTTTGGTTCCGCACAGCCGCCTCAGGGCTGCAGGGGAAATCCAGCCTCTGCTTTAGAGACGTTACATTCCCACCGCACCGTACATATTACATGCTAACGTGTTTACATTGTAGTGAGCCATCTCATGTGTAGGTCCGTGTTTGGTTGAACTTCAGACGGTTGTGTCATCTGTTGAGTGGCGTACCTTTGTCTGCAACAGAGACAGTGTTGTTGAAGTACTGCTCCTCCATCGCCCACGCCGTGTCGTTCATCTTACTGGTGATGCCACAGAAACCATTGCAGCTCACTTTGATGGCTGTAAACGAGAGTTTGACTCAGATGAAGCATCAATGCTCAACGGTCAAGTCTCACCAGACCCGTCTGACAACTTGACCTGATAAAGAAAAGAGCCTGAGAAACTCCCCAGTGTGTCAGAAATAAACAGCTACTGCTAATGTCAGCGATTTTACTTATGTCACAAACCTTCAACAGCTTTGAGTTCTTACAGTTGTTACAAACGGCTGAAAATGCTGCTATGATCCAGCTGAACAGCTGTTTAGAGACAAACAACCTGCTAGATGGTTTCCAGTCAGGCTTTAGACAACACCACAGCATTGACTGCACTGACTATGTATTAAACGACATTCCCTTAAATACCCATTCAGGCTAGGGTCGGGCGATTTGTAGAATTTTTCCCACCGCCAATCGTCAGCCCCAAAACAGACGACGGGCGATTTATTTGTGCGTGATTCGTCATGATGCACGGACTGAGCTGCGAACACAGAAGTCCAAAACACAGATTGTTTATAGAAGAGCAACCCATACATATGTTTGCTGGAAGATAAATTTAGATTTTTCCTTTTGTTTAATTTTGGGTTTGTAGGGCTAGGGGCGACGTATAAACAGCTGGTTTAAAACATGGTTACAGGGCTAAAAGGAAGCCGCTTTGTTTCCCACTGTTGTGCTAAAATGTTTTTTTTTTCTGAACAAATGCTTCTGGGTTTCTTTCTTTTACGGGTTTGAGTAGAAAATGAAATGAATGGTTGCTGAGTTTGAAAGCACTCTGAGGAGGGAGCATTTGCTCGCAGCCAGAGGTAACATGATCCATTTATCCCATCACTTTCATTTTTAAAATAAAAAACCACTGAATACCGTTAAAATTTCCATTCAATTTAATTAATATTTAGTCAAAACAAGCTAACAGAGTGCCCCAGTAACAAAAACATTACCTATCATAGTTATGCAGATGACATCCAGATCTACATCACCTAAACCCTTTTCAGATTGACATTCCGGAATATGTGCGGACAATTCAGTCCGGTTTTAACCAGAACTGTGTTTGCATACACACCACTTTTGTACCTGAACTTGTCCTTTCGGCTGCCTTCACACAGCAGGGAAAAGTTCCAGATGTCTGCGGGGGGGGGGGGGCTGTACCCAGATATTGCGTAAACATGGTGCGGCGGGCGTGCATGCGTCATTTACCCAAACAAAGCCATTCAGTCAAACATGGCAGACGAAGAGATAGAATTCTCACTGATCAGACTTGTGTCAAGCATAACTCTGCGCACACGGAATACGCGTAAGAGACCTGGATGATGAAGCTCAATGGTTAAAGGAATCACGGAAGCGGTGTGAAGCGCTCCGTCGCGCGTCTAGATGGTACCGTAGGAGGCGAGCTGCCGTGGGTCGCTGCATGCTACAGGAGCGAGCCATCTACAGTAGGTGCGCACATTCATGCGTTCATCTCCAGCAGGCTGGATTATTGCAATGGTCTTCAAACTGATCTTCCCAAAACAACTGCAGCTTATTCAGAACGCTGCTGCTAGAGTCTAAACAAGAACCAAGAGAACCGAGCACATCACTCCTGTTCCTACATATCTACACTGGTTAAACTACAGCACTGAGGTCAAAGTGCTTCTACTAGTTTATAAATCACTCAGCAGGGCTCTGAGATCCCGAGGGAGCGGTCAGCCTTTGAATGAATGTTATTATGCAGCACACACTGCATTTGCTCACCCTTTAACTTTGTTTCTTTTTCATTTTAAACTGTATTTTCTGTCATGTTGGTTTTAATGTACTTACTAATGGAAAGCACACTGAATTGGCCATGTGTATGACACGTGCCATACAAATAAAGCTACCTTGCCTTGCCTTGCAGCTTTTCCTAGTACGGTTAATAGAACACAGAGAAGAAACCTGCAGCAGGAAGGACTCTGAACATGGTGATGCTCCTTTATCTAGTTTATTTTTTAACCCTGGTACATATGACACTGTATTGTGTTTAGAGGTAGAACAGATAAATTAGGCCAATTTACCTCCTTAGCAGCGATGGGAATAACGCCATTTAAAATAACAGCGTTACTAAAAAAAATAAGTTTTTCAGTAACAAGTAATCTAATTAATTACCATCTTCTTTTATCATAATAACGCCGTTCCTGTTACTGATAAGGAAATGCGTGCGTTACCAATTCAGCAGCGCTGTGTGTTGAAGCTGTCATCAGCTGATCGGGAGCTAAAGAGGTGGATGTTTTCATCCAAGAGCATCACCGCCGTGAAGAACAAGGAAGACGTGATGAATATCTACATCTGCAGCCGTGCCCTTCTTAGCGTGACAGCGGGACGTCCTGAAGGTCCGCTCACCTGTCCACCGCTCAGACGTCCTGATCTTCTACCTTCCTAGATCATCCAGCTGGAACCTGTTCCTGATCATGTCTTTAGTCCCGCTGTAACACTGATGCATCAGTCTCAGACGTCATGGAGCTCAGGTGTTATCAGAACTACCTGTGTGTGTTTACCACCCAGCTTCAGCTCTTCTGTGGTTGGGTCTGACCCAAGTTAGTAAATGTGAGTCCTCCATCAGGCTTGTGCCTCTTCTAGTGTCATTTTAAAGGATTTTATTTATTTATTTAACCGTTACTAGATTAGCAGCAACAGAAATGCTGCTAAAAACACACAGTTATGTGAAGCTGGGAAAATTAGAATACTGTACAAAATGACATTTATTTCAGTAATTTAACTAGACCGAGAGACCATCTAAAGGCTCAGGAACCTTTACAGGTGTTTCTATTAGCTGACTGGGGTCTTGTTAGATATCTCACCGTCACATTTTAATAGTCCAGATTAGTGTGATGTTCCTGTTTGTAGTTCCTCCTGTTAAGTGTCCATTTATTTAATTATTCAGTTTTATAAAAACATTTTATTATGTTCCAGTCATTAGTCATTCATATTTCACTAGTGTAGTAACTCATAGTGAATTAATTAAGTTTTATTAAGGCGGGAACCCATTTTTCTTGCATTCTTTAATTAAAAAATATATATATATATATTTGTTTTTTTTTTGGGTAACTAGTTACTTTTAGAATCTTGTAACTTGGTAAGTAAGGGAGTAACTTTTTTGACAATCAGTAACTAAAACGAATTACTTTTTAAAAGTAACGCTCCCAACACTGATCCTTAGTAAAGCTGATATAAGGTCAGGCACATCCCAGGCAGCCAGCTAAGCTGAATTTGAATGTATTTTATGTTCCTGAATAACATCTCCACAACAAGTGTTTTAAGAATTGTTTAGAACTAGGGCTGGGCAATAAATGAAATGAAAAGATGCGTGTAGGTTCAATATCATCAAGCCACCCTCTAAAATGGGTATTTTTGTTTGTAAACGGGAACGCCCACTCCATATCAGGGGTGCCCCCTACTTATTTGCTCCTGAAATGTTACTACACGTCCAATATTTCAAAATAAGATATTTTCTCCGCTCATCTATCTGTTCTCCATCGTTTTTAATACAGTTATTGAACGTCTGTGCTCACCCTGCCCTAGAGCTGAAACAACTAATCGATTTAATCGATTATAATCGATTATTAAAATAGTTAACAACTTTTTTAGTCATCGATTAGTTGTTTAATAATCATATTTTACCGCATAAAGTCTATTTTTACCACAATCTGACATCGGTTACAAGCTGTTAAATTTGCCGCCAGTGTGTGGCAGTAATGAGCCACTGATCTACCAGTGGAGCCGTAGAAGAAGAAATGAGCCAATGAGTGCCCTCGGTTTTCATGACGTATCACGTTACTGACGCTCATCTTGCTGTGAGAGATGGCGGAACAAGAGGAAATACGGAAGAAAAATAGAAGCGACAAAACTGAAGAGAAACCCCGGACAAAAACCTCACGAGTATGGGAGCACTTCACTCTAGATGCCTTGAAAAGACGGGTGACCTGCAAAATATGCAAAAACCATCTAGCATGGCACGGAAGCACGACGTCCCTAAGTGAACATTTGAGACGAAAACATGTGGGGGCTGATGCAGCAGAGGAAGCGCCAGCCCAGTAAGTAACAGAAAATAAACAAGCTAACGCAGATCAAATTTGGGACTTAGTGTTTTAGCCGAGTTCGTTATACTGGATGTTAAACATGTTTATTTGCCGCGTCAGTCTACGGTGTTCTACTTCTGATTGACTAGATGCAATCGTGAATCTCCTCCGTGTTGTGTATCATGCGCTTGCCAAATTTAGCACGTCTGTTTATAAGAATGTTCTCGTTAAGAGAAAAACGGCACAAACCCATAACTATGTTCCTCATTCAAAAAAGGACAACTCCGCGGAGAAAAATATACAGACGAGCTGTGTCCAGGTGAATATAACGCGGCATAGTTGTACGCTTTCAACTTTTAAATACAGGAGAAATTCAGAAAAAGTCATTTTTTTACTATTAAAAGGCTGTTTTACTATCTAACGCTGTAAAACGCCTCACAACACATTTTTGTCATGTTTCTTAAACAGTATTACACAAAATAAACATTTTTCACATTTCTCTAGCTAATTTAAACACTCCCGACTCAAAGTAAAAACCTCATGAGCTCCTTACTCAGAGCTTTTTAATAGTAAAAAAATTAAGACTTTTCTGAATATCTCCTGTTGCGGGCTATTTTGTAGAACGTAACCCTCAAAATAAACGATCACTGTATATTGTTAATTAATTCAAATAATATAATATTGATTTAGTGTTGTAGTGTGTGTGCTGCTTTATTTTATATGTGTACTTATTTCAGTCTATTTGTGTTTCTTATGCAGAAAAAAAAACAAGCAACGATGGACAACTACATGGGGAACAAGACACTCACCCCCCAGCAATGCATACCACTTACAAACTCTATTCTAAACATGCTGGTAAAAGACATGAGGCCACTATCCATGGTGGAAGGAGCAGGCTTCCAGCTAATGCTAAAAAATTATTCTGGACTGATATTTTGCACTGTTTAGCTCATTTTATACTGCTGACTGTGTTCATGTGCAATAAAATAGATTGCAG